TTTTTGGAAGTCTTGATTAATTATATTTAAACAAGAGCATACTTTCCAATGTACGTTTGCTATTGAATTTAAGAATAAAATTTAGTAAAACTTAAATATTTACAATTGTATAGAAATATTGTAATTATTTATATAATTGCTACTGTTTGAATAAAACCTTGTTATACTAAGGTATTAAATTCATACGACTTTCTTTGATAACTTAAAAGGCAAGAACAAGAACAAACGCAAAAAAGTTTGTTCATATCGCATTGAACAGACTGATGGCTAAAAATAAGTTGTTAACCTTCGACTTTACTCGGTTCAAAGATCTTCCACTTCCCAAGTAATGGGAACAAGAAATAACGAACGCAAGTTATCTATGTATGTAAGTTAATAAAATGGTGATATTTTCGCACAATTACGGAAATTGATTACTGCTTATTTGAAAGATTATCGTTAACACAAAAATCCTCAGATTGTTGGAATAAAATCGTTCTTTATTAAAAAACGATTATTAATCATGCATTACTCTATAAATTTCCCATATGAATTCTTTTTACCAAGTATTCCGTCTTGAATACTAAAATATAATCAAATAGAGTAATTCAATGTTGCTAATTTTTTTGATATTTGTTGTGTATTTTTATGATCTAAAAATAAATAGGGCTCGTGTCATAACTGCTGCAAGCAATTTATGAAAATTAAATTTTCCAAGCTCTTACCGCATTTAAATTATGTGTGACACAGCAAAATGGAATCAGATTTTGAAGCTTAACAAAATTTTACGAACGGAATGATAAATTTATAATATTCTCTACACATTCGATCGTACTGGCATATAAACACGAAAAACCAAACGCAAGAAATCGCCTACATAATAATATTATATGCTCACAAATTTCAAAATATAAAAAAATATTATATAATGTTTAAATATTTACATAAAATCTTGTAATATATACACGAAACCTCATAACACGTATGTATACATATATCTGCACGTAATATACATACATAAATATGGAAGAGCAGGTATTGATATATACGTAGATAACTTTTTAATGTTTATTTTGTTTTAGAAAAACAGCATGTTAACAGCATGTTTGTACACGTAAATAGATAAAGGAAAGTTGTAATTGAATGTGCGGCGCGAAAAACATTGTAACCAACAAATTAACAACTTTTCCGCAAAAAAACTGTTTGGAAGTGTTATATTTTTGTTTATATAAATCTGTTATTGGCATATTCTGATATATTTAGCAATTTTACACTTTCATTTCAAAAATTATTAAAATATGATTTATATAAGAAGTCGAAATCGGAAAAATAAAAATTTTTGCGTGGAAAAACGACGTAAATAATGTGTAAATAATATTATTCCATATTTTTTTCTAACTAGAATTTTTGTTGCCATCTACGACTTTTTCCCGCAAGTAAAATTTGTCAGTTTATGTGATAAAATTTATCATTACTTTTGTTGAAAAATTTTTACATTTAAAATTACATACGAAGTCTAAAAATCGCATTAATAAAATTTTGTTACATATAACGTGATTCCACGAACCATTTCTGGAGCTTTTTTTCAGGTAGAATTTAATTTTCCTGTATTCTTTAATCTTTTGCGTTTAATACTCGTATCTTTCCATTCGGAAACATTTGCACGTCAATTTTGTCTCTATTTAGCTTCTTAACATGCCACTTTCCATACTCCCTTTTTTGACTTCCGAACGATACAACGTTTTTCCACGGACTGGCTATTTTTGAAGCGAAATTGACCAAATTCTTATTCGAATTTAGCGGTACTTTACGTATTAAAATGTAAAGTTTAGAAAGTATAACGTTTTTGTAAAAAAAAGTAATAAAGTGAAAATTGATGGTTATAACGTTATTCGATTATTAAAAAAACTTATGTATATCAATATGAAAACGATACTACCTAAATAAAACTTTAATTTATAATTTATTTTAAAACGAGAAAAAATAGAGTTGACCGTGTTAACTCTGTGATACTCGTACAAATTTATTACCCTATGTGCGAATATGTATGCCATAGCTGACTATGGCATAGACTATGGCTTTTAAGTTGTCGTACTACCATATTAATTTATGGAAAATTTCAGTACTGTGTTTTCAATATTTTCTAAGATATGGCTAAACTACTATTAAAGTTGTATGGCAGCTACCAGAAGGAGCCAAGCAATTTCAACGACTTTTATCAAACACTTGGCCCTACTTATATATTTACTTGTGCGAAATTTCAATATCAAAACTTTCATAGTTTCTAAGATATAGTCAAATAAATTTTGAAGTCGTATGGCAGCTGGCAGCTACCCGCACCAGTACCCCGATAATATCCAATTTAAATAGTCTTCGGGCATTCGTTATAATAAAAAATTTGTGAGAATTTGGTGAACTTAGCTCAATTAGTTTTTGAGTTATCGTTGGGACGGACGGTTGGACGCACGGACAGACGGGCTTTGATTATTATTTTTTAGCGTTACAAACGGTAAGGCATATTTAGTATACCTTTCGAACATACGTTCGTACAAGTTTAATAATTATTTAATCCAATTTTTTACTTTCAAAAGTTCAATATGTAGGTCAGTTTATACATTACGATTATAATGCCTGCTTTATTTGTAGTGGTTTTGTGCCTTGTTTGTTGTGAAACTTGGAGCCATCTGCGGTATGGACATATATATATATTCTTGCTCAGCGTAAAATTCTGCGTCGATTTAGACATGTCCGTCCGTCCGTTTACCGTCCACCCGTCCATCCGCCCGTCCGATCGAACGATAACTCAAACACGAATAATGCAATCGACACCAAACTTTCACAAGTTGCTTCTTTTGTGCCAAGGACGAACCCTATTGTTATTGGACTAATTCGGACAACGGGTTCGGGTAGATGCCATACAACTCAAAGAGCTTATTTTAAATATTTCAAAAACTAATAAAGCTATAAATATAAAATTATTGTATACATGTGTCCAATTATACTCTACACATGCTCTAAAAATTTTAATGGGATAGCTGCACCGGTTCGGGTGGCTGCCATACAATTCTAAAAGCAAATTTTTTATATTCGAAAAAATAATAAAGTCAGATTCATGAAACTTGGCAGTCATGTGTTTAATTATTGATCAAATATATTTCTGAAGTTTTAGTTGAATTGCTTGACAGGTTCGGGTACCTGCCATACAACTCCAGTAGCTAATTTTAAATATTTGGAAAAATAATGAAGTCAGATTCACGAAACTTGGCAGTTGTGCGTCCAGTAATAGATCAAATATATTTGTGAAGTTTTGGCGTACTTGCTTGACAGGTTCAGGTATCTGCCATACAACTCCAAAAGCTAATTTTAAATATTTGGAAAAATTATAAAGTCAGATTCATGAAACTTGGCAGTCGCTTGTACAATTATAGGTCAGACATGTCCGTGAAGTTTCTATAGAATGGTTTCCCAGGTTCGAGTAATTTGTATACAATAACGAAAGGTGCAGGGTATAATTCAATCGGTTTATACCGACTGAAACGTTTGTACTTGTTTTAACTCTAAATTAAGTATAAGAAAAAAAATGTGAAACTACAATTTTTCATTTCTTTGATCGAAATTTTTTTATAGTTTCTTCTTTCTTTGTGCTGAGTTTCGTCAATTTGAAACAGGGGTGTATTTTTTGTAATTTGGAATTCACTATAAAGTTAGTGTGTGTAAAATATAAGATAAACATATTATAAAAAATTCCTACTAAAAAAATAAAAAACTTTTTTTAAGTTCAAGAAAATACTTATTTAAAAAATATACATATGTACACATCTATTTATGTGTGAATCTATGTAAGTGCGAATCCATTTTCTAATAATCTTACAGTTGTGCTGTATTGTTTGAATGATTGTCGCTCGAATAATTTATTTTAAATATAAATTGTACTAATAGTAGGTCTTTAAGTTTGTAATGGAGAAGTTGAAAGCTTATCTAATTTATACGACTAATAAAAATGATTGTACGGATTGCATTAAATATTCGAAATAAATCGATATTTAAAAAGAATGGCGAAATTTCAAGATTTTATAAATAACGTGATTCTTATAATTGTCATAATTTTATATTTTTTTGCAAAATTTTTGGTCATACCATTTAATATTAAATTAAGATTTAGAAAGAAAAATTTTAAAAATAAGAGTAAATCAAAATTTTTAACAATTTTAATTATCATAATAAGTTTTTGCAATTTGTTATACCAGCCTTTTGATTCTAAAAGCATAGTTGAAGACCAAAATGTGGATAAAGTTGGAAAATTTTTAATATCTGCAATAAATTTCACAAAATCATTACTTTTATTTACTTTGGCAATATTTCGTTTAAGGTTTTTTAAATTAATAACATTAATAAATAAATTAATAATATTTTCGAAAAAAATATCATATAATAATTTGCAATTAAGAAAATTTCAACTAATTTACTTTTTAATACTCATATTAATACCATTAATAGTAAATTTTTCAATATCATTATTAATAATATTAATTGGTAATAATAAATATAATAGAACAGCTACTTTAATTTATTCACAAATTTGTTATGAAGTATTTTATATAATATACAAAGTATCATTTATAAATATTTTCAATATAATTTCATTATTATTTTCAATAACATATATTAATATTGATAATTTACTTAATAATTTATATCAGAATTTAAACGATATTACAAATTTAAAATATAAAATCAATAAAATAATATATGTTCAAGATTTATGTGATAAAATCGATGAAATATCAAAATATTATTATAAACTATATAAAATTTATAATAAATTTCAGAAATTTTGTCAAATTCAATTACTTGCTTTTCTAATGGGTGAGACATTAACTTTAGCTTTTATTTCTTCAACAATCATTTCAACAAAGTTTTCCGGCGATTATTATACAGTTACAAGAATATTTTTGTATATTATATTATTAATTATTTATGGCATACAAATGACAAATCCAATTTTTGTTATAAATACAATAATGGAAAAATCGAAATTAGAATATTGGAAACTTTTCGGCGTATATACAAGTAGAAATTTTCCAGATTTAAATAAAATTGTAAGTTTATAAAATGATAAATTAAGTGTAATTTAATACCCCTTCAATGTTTTAGGAACACACATATTGAAAAATAAAATAATATATTTCAAAGAAAAATTTTGCTTTTTGAAAATTTAGTAATTTTTTCAAGTTTTCAATTACACCTGATTTTTTAGTGGCCAGATAAAATTTTAGGTTCGAGATAGTGGCATACTTTGTGATATTCTATGATGAGACAAGAAACTTTTGTTCTACAGTTTTTGTTTAAAATGTACTTGAAGGACAATAATTTTGATTCTCAGGGATAAAAATTTTAAAATTTTTTAAAGTTTAGATTTCTTAAACTAAAAAAGTTATCAAGGTCAATCAAAGGTAAAATTAAAGGTTGGTGGCTTAATTTGATTAAGAGCTTTTTAAATTGTTTTTTTTTTTTAAAGTATAACAAAAGTTTCGTGCATTGTAATATGTTATGACCCTAAAAAGTATGAAGCCATTATCTAGAACCACCTACGTGTTACAATACCTGGTAAATTGATAGCAACAAAAAAGGTGCAATTGATTAATTCAAAAGTTGTTGTCTAGAATCGTGTCTAGAATGCATGTGTTTAAAATACAATAAAGTTGGGTCAAACCAATGGTTTGCAATGTAGTACTTTTCCCTTTAAAAAGTGAAAAAACTGCTTTTGAAAACAATCCGTGTACTACATTATTAAAATTACTTTCATTCACATACGAAAAAATTTCATGGCAATGGCATGGAAATTACCGTTAGCTTTCTGCATTTATAAAAACTTGGAAAAGCAGTTTCGGGAATGTAAGGTGCCAAAAATTTGAATTTTATAAATTTCTTGAGAAGCGATAGCTTGAGAGGGTAAAAATTTTTTTCTAACGAAATGAACTATTTATTAGTATTTAAAAGCTGCTAAAATTTTAGGCTGCTACAACTTGTAATCTAGAAGAAAAACGTTGTCAAAATTTGGGAAAAAACAAATTTTAGGTAACGGTAAATTTTAGCGGCCATTTCGTTGTTTAAAGTGCAAATGGGAGGAGATAGGTAAAAATTTTCTTCCACGGGAATAAGTTTCTTCTAAAGATCTGTGTATTTATGAAATTTTTTATTTTCAACGTTGTAGAAGTTTCGTAAACATGACCACAGGCGGATGAACGGACGGACAGAGTGAAACTAATAAGCACCTTTTTTCAAATTTTTTATTGGAAAAGTTGTAAAAAATAAATTAATTTTTTTTCAGGTTGAAGGAATGTTTTATAAACATAATTTTGAATCAATTAAGTTTAAGATTTTGAAATATCTTGACATTAATCTGAAGACGATTATTATTTTGGCATCATTTTTTCTTAATTATGGATTCATAATTGGACAATATTATGCAGTTTACATTCAAGAGTTTTCAAAATCTTTTAATTTTACGTTTTACAATGAAACAGATGATTTATTTAATTTCCTATAAAATTAAAATTTTGTTGCAGTTCCTCAAAATGTCATACAAAACTTGTAATAAATAAAATTTTTAAATTTGGAAATTTAGTTTTTATTTGATATTGATAAATGGCCCGCATAAGTTTGCACTCGTCAAACCGATATGTGTGCTTTTCTATTTTATAATTTATTTAGGAATTAGAAAATTTTGATATTTCGTTTGAAAATTTAATTTCTTAATTAAATTATATAAGATTTTTTCTTAATCGTTCCAACTACACATATATACTTAGAATATAATGGCAATGTTGATTGTAGAAGTTCTCTGACCACTTAAATATAAAAAATAAGAAAAATATAAAACATATAAAAAAAGGAAATCAATAAAAAGGAAAAAAATTCCACCCTTTTTAAGAGAAAAATCAAATTGACATAAAATATTACTATAATACATTTGACATGACAACGGTTGACTTGTCTATTAATCAAACTTTCAAGAATCATGAATATGAAATAGATGAAAATGTTAAAGAATTTCTTTAAACCTAATTCAACTTTGAATATTTTATAGACTTTCCTTGCACACACACAAACATTTGAAAATTTATTTATTTTTTCCTTTTTATGAATAAATTTTGTCTATATTGACTAAAAAACATTCTTGCTTTAAATATTTTATTATTATTTTGCGTATTCGATACATTTAGGTATGTATGGAATTTCCAATGTAAAACATTCTTTAGGTTAAAGTTATTCTGACCAAGCTTATATTATTTTCTATTTTATGCTACCTTTCCAACGTTAATTCGAAAGCCTCAGAACGATTTAAATTTCACTTTGGTTAATTTAATTAATTCCTTAATAATATGAAGAATTAAGTAAAACTAAATTTTTGAAGTAACTCATACATATTTCGATCATATCCTTCTCGAATATTTTAGCTTATATTTTCGATTTATTTTTTTGATAAACCGATTTACTATCAGTGTTCCATACGCTTTATTATGTTAAATTTTTTTTGCTAAACTCTAAATATTCGATACGGATTGTCTTGAATGGGTCAAGTGGTTGTAAAATTGAAGTTTCAAAGTGTCGGTTAAAAAGTGTTGACTTATAAGTAATCTTTTAAAAAACGTCATCAAAAGCAAAATTGAAAAACAAAAAGCGAGAGATGATGTGCAAGACAAAGTCTGTTTTGCAACCTATTAAAATTGGTTTTATGCAAGGATCTGTTTTTTTAACCGATGGAAATATAGCACATTAGCAAAAATATACAAATTCAGATGTCGCAATCAAAATTGAATAAAGACGCGGATTTATCCAAACTCTGTCAACATTTACACTCTCTGGGCAGTTGACATTGATAGCATAAAATCTTCTGCTTAGTCAACTAATCATCGTGGCATTATATCAATGAAAAAATTATTTCATTTTTATTATCGTATTATCCTTTGACCCTTGTTGTAATTTAATGCATCTGTGGTGATTATTGTCCCATCGATATATTCAGTAACTCGAAAAAATAGACTTGACCCTGTCAACTCTGTGATACCCTTACGAATTTGTCATTCTATGTGTGAATAAATAAACCATAGTTGACTATAGGAATATATTAATTTATGCAAAATTTCAGTACTGTGTTTTCAATATCTTGTTAGATATGGGCGAACTACTATTGAAGTTGTATGCAGCTTTTATAGTTTCTGAGCTATAGCCAAAAAACTTTTGAAGTTGTATGGCAGCTACCTGAACTACTACCCCAATCATATTCAGTTTAAGTAAGGCTCTGGCATTTACTATAGTAAATTATTTGTGAAAATTTGGTGAACTTAGCTCAATTAGTTTTTAAGTTATCGTTGAGACAGACGGACTGACAAAGCTAAATCGACTCAGAATTTGACACTGATTAAAAACATACACCTGAGTCTATATCTCAGACCATTATTTCTTAGCCATACGTTCGTACGGGTATAGTTACGTAATAAGATCTTTGGTTTTGTTTCGAATTGTTGAATATTATATTTATCGTTATTGTGAGTGGAACCGATTAAAATTTTTCTTAAACACAAGTTATTTCTTGTTGTGGCGTGTGCTCGATTGATTTTGTAGTTTTTCTTTGTTTTTTAAAATAATGGTTAAAGGGGCATATATTTGCATGTACTTCATCCTTAACCGCTTTACCAGAGAGAAGTTAACTTTTAAAATTTAAATTTCGAAACGAAATTTTATTCATGAGAAAAAAAGAAAAGAAGTCAAAGATAAAAATTTTCTTAAAGGATTGGACATGTTTACAAAACTTCTACACCCTTTAAGATGGAAAGTTGAAATTTGATATCTTTACTAGGAATTTATTATCGTGGAAGAAAATTTTTACTTATCTTCTCCCTTTAAAAGTTATAGCCTCCCAAATACCAAAAAACACCATTTTTTTTAATTTTAATTTTAGCAAAAGAATTCTCTCTAAAGTTATCGCCCCTTGAAATTTGTAAAATTTGAATTTTTTTCTTATATTTCCGAAACTTCAAGCTTTTCCTAATTTATATAAATGAAGGGAGGTAACAGTAATTGCCATGCCATTAAAAATATAACTACTTTTCTTAACTTACACATATAAGCCTATTATGTCACCGACTCTTTCAACTTGATTTTTTGGCCTCGTCCGAAATATATGCAAACTTTGAAATTTTTTCGTAAGTGAATAACAGTAATTTTATCAATGTAGATAGATTGTTTTTAAAAACATTGTTTTCTCTTTTTAAATGAAAAAAGTGCTACATTACAAACATTGGTTTGACCCAACTGTATTTTTTATTTTTTTTAAATATTAAAGTATAGGCATAAATATTTTGTAGCGAAGGCAAAAAATAGAGGCGGGATTTATTTTTTGCAAGATAAAAAGAAGAAATGCAAATATGCTACAAAAAGAATATTAAAGGAGATGAAAGAGAGACTATAAATGGATGCTATTTAAAATGTATTTGTATAAAAAAAAATTTTAATGAGTTTAGAAGCATTCAAACGATAAAATTTTCCTAAAAAAAGATAAATCATTTACGCTTTTGATTGAACATTAAAAATATAAGTTGTCACTTAGTGCAAATGAATTACTTAAAATTGATTTAAATTAAATTTTCATATGCATGCATAAAAATTTACTAAAAGTTGTTTCGTTTAAACGTAAGATCTTTTGTTAAAATAGATTTGAGAGCTATATATCAAAGAGATGCTACGAGTATTGGATGAAATTTCTTTATTATAATAAGGTTAAATCAAGCGTAAATTTGAGTAGAATTAATACTTTTTTCACTTTTTAAAAAGGTAAATTATTTTGTTTTATATATAATTTCATTTTAAGGAAAAGGTTTCAATTTGTAGAGTCTAATGCTTTTAACTCACTGATATTATGAATTTGTTCGAAAATTAAGTGTTGAATGTTCTCTTTAATATTAACACCTATCATAACGTTTTGAGTAGGATTTATTTAATAGTTCTATAAAATACTACACTAGTATGAAAAATATATTTAGAGCTGAATTTACGGTATCAAGGATCATAAGCTAATAGAATTACTAGAATGAAG